GCGAACAGTCCTCGAGTCACAATTGCCGGCCGTACACGAGACTTATTCAGCGATCCTTTTACGTCGGCGCAGAGCCACTCACCGAAATAGAAAAATAAAATGCGGCTCCCAAACGCCGAGCGCACTCCTACATTAATAACGTACATACACGTACTCAGCTCGCGTGAATATTTTTGCCATTGCGCTGATGACGCTATCGCGTGATGTTTAAATTACACGCGACGAATCCATTGTCGACTCGAATTTCTGCCTGTGCCCGGCAATCTATACACACATGCAGCATATGTGCACTTTTTGATAATCGCACCCAAAGTGTGTATACCTATCGACTTTTACATGCATTCGCTCGAGCCTGTACTAATGTAACTGCGTGATAATTTTGCCAGCGATCGAAAACAACTCTCTCGCGTATAGGCAAACACGGCAGCAGGCAAAGCTTTGCTCTTTTCGGCGTAATCTTCGTGCAGCTCGGCAACGCATAGATTTTTTTGCGACGCTCTTCGCCGCGCAAAACTCTATATTACGATACGTGTACGCCAGCTGATAAGGATACATTTTTACGTGATTTTATCGGCTTTTTGTGTGCTATATGCACAAGACTATACAGCTACATAAACAGCTATCGAGAGACTGACAATTTTTTGATAATTTTTGCCAAGTTTCCTTACTGCCGTTCGAATCGCTATTTTAATGTGAGGATATTTTTCAATAGTAGTTTTCCAAATCAATCGATTCCAAACAAAATTATGCTATGGAAAATTTGATCCACGGACTAGTCACGGACGAGTCACGGGTTTATCCCGAAATTTTTCACGAATTTATCACGAAGTTTTTCCGAAATAAACACGCTCGGTATTGATAACGACAGTAGCAACAACAATAAAAAGAGGCGTAGGATGCACTCATCGCTATAGCGGCTTTAACTATGTTTACACTTCGATCGAATTCGAGTCATAAGTCGCGCGAAGATCGAAGCGCGATAAGCCTGGTGGTGTGGTGTGGTGTGCGGCTCGATCGCTGTCCATACATATAATGTATATCGAGTCACGGCTATCGCAGGTTTCGATCGAAAGATCGTCAACTTGCAATATTCATGCGCTCAGGCTTTGCATTAGACAAAAGTCGAGTCTGCTGCTGCTGAAAAATGCGCCTTCTCTCTCTTTCTCTCTTTTACTCTTTCTTTCTTTTGCTCGCTCATTCTCTTTCATGCGTGTGTGCATTAAAAGTGTCATGGTCGCGAGAGAGCTTCTCCTCTGCGCTGCTGTTACTGCCACTGCCGAGCTAAGTACAGTGCATCGAGCAAGTATGTATGTGTGCACATATTGTCCGAACAATGCGCCTGCGCCACACAAATACTTTCGTTTTCAACGCGTTCCCGCGCGGCTGCAGCGCTGACGACGACTGCACTGCTGCTGCTGCTGTCGCTGCTGCGAGCTCCAAGTCTCCCCTGTTTTTGTAAAAAAATATATGCGTACGAGTATCAACCGACGTAAAACTGCGATCGTATTCCGAATTTCAACTCCCGTTTTTTTTTTCAAAATGATGCAGTCTGTATTAGATCCCTTACCGGAACCGATGAAATACGCCGATAATATCTTCAGAATGATATCGTCGTTTTTACCGAGCTCGACGAGGCTACTTGCCCACTATCGAGTCAGATAGTCCTGAATGTTTCGTTTTCGCCGAGCGCTATTTACACTCGCGTGAGCATATGTAATTATCCACGAGGAATTTGTTAATAAATCCAAATAATATAGTCGCGTCATTGGATTATTGCTATAGAGTTTGAAAATCAGCGACTATCATCTTAGCTCGAGAGAAGAATCCTTGTTAAAAATCATTGCGCAAGTCTATTCAGCGCAGCGCAGGTACGCGAGATCGCTACTCGACGGCAAAAGGAGCTACCATAGTCGCACGCTTAGATTACGACCTATCAATAATGATTGTCATAATTTGCCCCTAGAGTTTTCCATTAACACAGAGCTTTTACGACGCGTTCGAGTATATAATACGCATATGCAGACTAGGTGCGAGGATCGCGGGCCCGACGGATCTATGCAGGCTAGTTTATAGCGTTGGCCGGATAAATTTTCGCTGACAACGCGTGTTATACCTTCGGAGTAATCGAATAAATTATACCTAACACGCAGATATGTACGTATGCTTTTACAGGTGAAAATAATTCTTTGAGTGAAGTCATGCACGCCGCGCACTTGTAGATATATTAGTTTTGCAACAAACAATTTCAAACCTTGGGCTGAATGTGTACGTGTACGTGTGTGTGTGTGTGTGCATGTGGGTAATGCGAACCTATATTTTAGTGCCTAATAGCGCATATAAAAAGGTTCCATGCGGTTGCGCCAAGTTATGTTTGCGCACGCTTGCACAGCTAACACACGGTGTACGCAGAGCGACCGACTCCTGCCTCGTGCGCTCTTTAGATTTTTACGAAAAAACTTGCACACCGTGCGCCGAGACTTATATTCCAGCGTTGTCTCTCTGCATATATAGAGGCAACGTGCGTGCGTGCAATATTTTATCGTTTATTTTTGTAGGTACATACCGAGCCAAAGAAAAAACTCATGACCATTGCGTAGACGAATCAATGACGTTTCGTTTATGATTTTAAAGGAAAGCCCTTGCACGCCCTAAAAATCATTTTGGCACCGTAATTCCGTAGCGATTCAATGTTCAAGGAGGAAACAACAACTTACTCTGTCTCAACAATACACTCACGCTTCTTTGCATTCATTCATACTTTATACATGTATATAAATGTATTAATCATTGAGCACATGTGTTTGTAGCTATTAATATCTTCCAGCGTAATTGAAGTACATCTTACCGGCACGGTACTACTCTTACTACTCTGTGGCTTGTGCTTTTGCCGCATTTATAAGACTGGTTTTTACCCAAAATGTGTATTTAATCTAACACACACGAGATAGTAATTTAATTACCGATTGCAGAGAATAAAGTTGAAATATTACTAACTTGGTAAGTCTGCAAACCTGTTAATGTCGATAAAAATCTTCCTTTAATTTTAATCTTGCAAATAAGCAATGCAAAATTTTTATTAAGATATTCTAATGACTTATATTTGTTTTAATTTTTGAAATTATAAGAAAAATGATATTTTTTTCGTATAAAATTCATTTGTGAGTTTTGTGATAGTTGCCTAAAAAATATTTATCTTTTAATTTTTCAATAAAAAATAAATTACTATTATTTAAAGATTTTTACAAAGAGAAACCGAGAGAGAGAGAGAGAGAGAGAGAGAGAGAGAGAGAGAGAGAGAGAGAGAGAAAGATGATCCGCGCACATTTGACCGATTGTGTAGGCTGCCGGCCGCTTGGACGGCAGTAACCGAGAAAGGAGAAAGAGTTACGCAAACTCGGACGAGAGACGACGTTTTGTTATGCTTGTAAATGCAAGATCTTGAAAGCTGTTAGGTAGTCATTCGCTTGGATGTATTGAACTCGGCGAGTCACGTCGAGTTTAAATAATCAAACTGTAAAAAAAGAAGAAGAAAACGACTCACGAGCCATCGAAGCCCCGCATCGATGAAAATTTTCCAAAGCAGCTGCCAGAATATTTTTGCGCACATTATCTGGCCTTTATATCAGTCGGTGCGGAAAATCTCGAATATTAGTTGCAGGTTGATTAGAGATGGCAAAAAATCTACCTGTTTTTACTCGCATCGGTCGGTTGCGCCACGCTTATCAATTTTAGGTATTATCAGCTAACACGCACTGCAAGTGATAAACTCAAAGCGAGAAAGAGAGAAAAGATTTTGCGGATATCGGAGGACGATAAATAAATGAAAGAACGATCGATACCAATCGTCATTGAGAATCCAGTCCGAAAAGTTGGATAAACTAAAAGGGAGCTGGAGCAGCGTCGCGATCACGCAAGTCGAGAACATGGTCGATTCGAGCTTCAAGCTATAGTCGAGTCGAGAGGCAAGCCCGCGACTCTGGCAGCGGTGCACGTGCAGCTAGCGATGCGCCCGATTCGCGTAACGTCGTCGTCGCCGTCGTTGCATGGCAATAATACGCGTATAGTAGCAGCATCTCATGCCGAGCTTGGCTGGGAGTATGTTGCACTTGCACTTGCATTCGCCGTTTGTCGTTGCTGTGCAGTCTCGCTCTCTCTCTCTTCCCCCCTATTTAATCGTCATCGGTCTACTCGTGCGGAGCAGCAGCTCTTCTCTATCTCGCTCCGGCTCGTATCAGTGCAGCAACGATGCAGCCGTCGGCCGATGTGTACGCGTGTGCGCGCTGATACACAAGTGTGTTAGTGTCGCGCGCGCGTTGCGCTCTAGCCTCCCCTCTTTTGGCGAAAAATCGACTGCGACGGCGACGGCGACGACGTCGTTGTAACTACATACATACATGCATACATACATAGACACATGCAAGCGAGTATAACGTAAGAAGCGGGAAAGAGAGAGAAAGAGAGCGAGTTGGTCGTTGACGGCAAAGGAGCTGGTGGTAGTGGCGGTGGTAATAGTAGTGGTGGTGGTGCTGCTGCTTCTGCTGCGGTGGTTGTGGTAGTGGCGGCTCGAGCCGGGCGGCGGGGCGGTAGTCGTACTCGCGCGCGGCACATCGGCCACCGGCGCGCGCTGCTCTCGCATGCACTACGTACACACAGAGACAGGCTCACTCGCGCATACACACACATACACAAACTCATACATATATACACAGGCACGAGGAGACGCGCGTCTATGACTGGCGCTGCATGTGTAAGTGCATGTGCGCGAATATACTGTGCGCGGCGCTCGACTGCCGCCAGTTGTGCCGGTGCCTCGTGCATGTGTCTGTGTATGCTGCATGTCTCGCGCTCTCTGTACGTGCACCGACGAGCTCACTCACACAGGCTCGCCCACGGACTACGCGCGGCTATATACACACATCAACTGGTGCCCCGTGGTGGGAGGTGCATCGAGCCTCGGTCGAGTCGCGAATCCGCTGCAAGCAGTTACGGGAGCGCAGCGAGCGAGCCAACGCGCGCACCACGACGCTAATTGTTGCAACAACAACAACAACAACAACAACAACAACAACAATAACAACAACAACAACATCGTCAACAATAACAACAACAAACAACAAACATCAAACAATAATCAACATCAACAACATTACATTTTGCAACAACTGCAACTACGAGCCAGCAAGGATCAACTGCTGCAACTGTTATCTCAATTATATTAGACATACGCGCGTGTAAAAACGACGAGAAGAACTGGAAAGCCCCGGATTCTCTCGATAACAATAAACAAAAGGGAAGGAAAATATTTCGCTCGTGCGTGTGTCTGTGTATAAGTGCGTGCGCGTGTGTGCGATTGCAGTCGTCGGCTTTGTATGTATCAAGCAACGACTACTCTTTGCGACGTCCATCATCGTCATCGTCATCCCCTCCAGATGAGGCACTGCACTTGAAAAATAGTGCTTGCTCCGATTATGCGACATAGCACCGCTTTGCGTTCTTGTACATATACATCTGATGATCATAGGCGGTGGCTACGAGTTTCTTAGATGACGACTGCGAGATAGACCAGTGAACAAATAAATAAATAAAAGAAGAAAAAGAGGAAGAAGTAATTTTTTGCAGCAGATTTAGTCGTGCATGTGTATAGATCGCGGCCAATCGTCACGTGCAACGCGAGTGGTGTAACAACATTGAGTTGAGTGCGCGCATCCCCTTTTGGCGTCTATAGAAGCCGAAAGCTCGATCGAAAGAGACGATCGAACGACAAATATATATTGTTATTGTACTGTGATGGTGTGAGAGCTGTTCTGCATTATTAACAAGTGGTGCCCAGTTTTCAAGTTTTTCGTTTTGTTTTTTCTCATTGAATTTTACGTGAGCCACTGCAGCTACATTGTGTGAGACCTGTGATAAAAACGGAGACAGTGTGTTTTTTGTTCGTCAGTTTACATGTAAATATTTTGTTAAATATACACGAAAATTTATCGTATATTCAGTGCAGTTCAATTGAGGTTTGCCTGTAGCGATCAGCCAAGCCACAGACGACCTTCGGAGTTACATTTGCGCGGCACTCTCTCTCTCTTCTCTCTCCTCTCCTTCTGTCTCTCTATCTCTTTTCTCTCTCAGTGCTGTGAGAAATTTTCAGTTGCAATTTATTTCTGTTTTTCACGGTTTTTTGTGCGAGTGGCCTCGCGCGCTTTTTCAAGAAATTTTTGTTTTGTGCGAGCCGAGCTGCTGCTGCACACGACCGAAGATTCCTATGCACGAGAAATAATAAAAAAGGAACGAATCACCGAAGCTGTGCCCGACGCTGAGTGAGTATTGCACACAGGATGTTTCGAAATACATCATTTTTTTCTGGTGATTTGCCCGCCGATACGCCTTTCTTTGCAAACGGTGAATATGAGCCGGTGTAGGGCACTTTTTGGATACAGTCATAATTCGATTATACAAACATTAAAAAAAATATATATAACACGATTTGCGTGTCTGGTGTATTGTAATATATGTGTGAGCTGTGCATGTGTAATAGTGCCAATGTAATTCGAGCCTTGTATGATATACACACAATACCACGAAAAAAGTCTCTTATCGACGCGCATGAATAAGTGTTATTTTGGAATTTGTGCTGCTGCGAAGAGGAAAAAGTTTGCGATTAGTCGGAACTACAATTTTTTATGCTTTTTGTCCCGCGTGTCTTATTTAACTCGAGAGATTCGTATTATTCGGGCTATTTTTCGCACGAACAGCATCGCCCTGTGTTCAGCGTCTGTGTGTGCATGTGTTTAATAACAATACCAAGTCCGTAGACGGGACTCGCCAAATCTGACTTTAAAATGCGATCGGACTCATTTCGAACGTGGCGTATCATTTTTCGACGAGACTAAGCACAAAAAAGTTATTATGACATTCATACAAGCGTGATTTTTTTTTCATTCGTTGTACGATTTCTTTTCTCTCTCTCTTTCTCTCTCACTCTGTCACGCTCTCAGTGTTATACCATAATATGTCGTCGTATTTCATAATCGTCTGGACTCTCGTGACACGCCATATATGTATATATAATATATATGTATATACTATGGCACGAGTGATTCAACTCCTCGATATATACTTAGGCGAATTGACCACCTAGAATCGCATTCGTCTAGGCGCCGAAAAAGCGAAAACGCAAAAACGACGAGGAAAAAGACGATGGCGCGCTAGTTTGGGCACGATAATAGTTGTTACCGAAACCAAGTTTAAATTGAGTATAGGAAAAGCCAACGAAGCTGGCGCGCTCGCGAGTCTCGCACACAGACGCGCTAATGCACCGAAAAATTTCCGTTCGCCAAACGATTAGAAAAGTGGAAGGAGGAGAGGAGTACGGAGGACGGAGAGGAGGCCGGGGTGGAGGAAGAGGAGTATTATGCATGAAATTTTGAACAGTGTCAAAGTCACGAAGCTCGACTGCTCGCTCGCACTCGAGCGCACACATACGCGCACACACAGACAGATACACGCGCACATACACGTAGCGACATTTGGAGCGATACACGCGCCCAATCGCTCGATCGCTCGATCGCAAGGAGAAAAATGTCAAACTCATGAAAAAACGTCTCAATAATCGCGTGTTACAGAACGCGCTCGAACGTCATCATCGATCATACGAAACGAGGCATGCAGTGCAAAAGCTTCGAGATGCTCTTGTAATCCCGTACATAAACGCATACACACAGACATTCGTGCACGCGCGTGCTTGCACAGTACAACGGTCGATTTAATATTTATTAGACGATGAGCCGTACATAAATCGGAATATGGTCCAATAACAAATAGGCACAGACCAATTGAGGCTTGGTCTTGGAAACGATCTACTCCGGCAGACTCGGGAGCTTTGCATCGTCTGTGAATTATTCATCGTTACGCGTGCAAAAGAATATCGAATGAATTTCGTGAAGAAATGCTTCGTATGGACTACGTGCATATATGTGTTCGCTCGATATCTTGTGCGCATATGTATGTGTGTGTGTGTGTGTGTGTGTGCGTGCGAGATGTATATCTGCGCGCGTAAAATATATGCTATATACCAGATGAATTTGCGAATAAAAGAAATATCCTTGAACGTGTGCGCGTAGCTCCGTCGCGCGAGGCCCGAGAGAGAGAGAGAGAGAGAGAGAGACTCCTCGATGAATATCATGAATGTCATTTGCCACTGCAACTCGAGCAGTCGCTGCTTTATTATGGATCGAGATGAGTTCAAGTGTATGCGCGCAAGTTTAGAACAAAAAAAGGACATTTCAGCAGACATTATCGGAGCTTTAATTTTTCTTTCTCTCCCGCAACGCGAATAAACATATCGCCGATACGGTACGATAGCTACGTGTCTGCTACCGTCGACGATTAGAGAAAATGCGGCTATTTCCGTGCTCCGTTCGTCCGCGTGAAGAACATACGTCTATGCACGGCTAACTTTTTCGATAGGTGACCGTGGAAACCTGTAGCGGCTTCTCTGTGCGCTTCTGCACCTATCCTATCTACTGTTTCTTGCTCTTTTCTCGGATCGGATTCAACTCGCTCGAATAACCTAGCTATCTGGCACTTTGCTCTTTCTTGTATCGTTCAACTGATATCGACTCATTTTTCCGCTTGCAGCCGATGACGTTCGCAACTTTCGGTCGACTAGCAAACGAAAAACAAATTTCTGAAAAATTCTCGACTTGAAAATATCTCGCGCCCTGAGCGAAGAAAGCGAGTCGAGTGCTTTAAATCGAAAGATTAACCCGTTGAGACATAAATTGACAAGTTTTAGCGCGTTGAATTAAATAAATATTCTCTGCCTATGGATTTACGCGCAGTTTTTACGCGTCACATAAAAAGCCGGTATATAATGAGATAAACATCAAATGCTCACACACACTCGTGCAATAATTTTTAGCTTTCGATGTTGTGACATTTCCTTCCTCGACTATGCGCGGAGCAGCAGGCCAGTCGGTAAATTTCGAAAATGAAATCGGATGATGATTGACACGAGTTTTGCTGAAAAAGCCCCCGTGCGCAGTTCCAATTGAAAATGTCATATTACATTTTGGAGCGCGAGATATAGCGAAGAAGAAAAGAAACGAGTCGACAAGAGTCGCGCGCGACCGACATTTCGATGTTTTCGCGAAGCGGAAATTGAATTTAGAATTCTTTGGAAGAAAAAAATGTCACGAAACATCGAGTCTAGTTTTAACCATTACTCGTATAAAACATCGCACACGTTCATTAGCAGCCGCGTGTGTACGAGCGTGCGATGCAGTTGTACAGTTGTCGTCGTCTGCAAAGCAACACGCGAGTGTGTATATAGAAAATCTTACATAGTTTTACGGCATACTTTTTGCAACAGTCATCGCTTGATTAATAGGCTATATCGCGTACACACATACATGGACACACACACGCACACATATATAGCTGTCCCGGAGCTATATAACGTAACAAACAATTAGCCACCGCATACAATGTATGCGCGGCCGGTAATAATCCTCTCTTTAAACGCACTCGCGCAATAGGTTTATATTGTAACAAAAAATAAAGCGATCATGGTAGACGTATAAGACTTTTTTAAAAGGAAGTTTTGCAAAAATAAGCGAATAAAAAGCATTAGGAGATATGAAAATACGAAATGTGAAACGTGCAGGCAACGCGCATATAAGTTCAAATATGCGAGCGGAAGATAATAAGCGCAAAAGGAGCTTCGCTCGCTCCTGCAATATCGCCAAGGTCGTAATCTTAATACAGAAAATCTCGAAAAAAGTACTTATTTGGCGAAGCTGAATTTCCTCGGCGGTCTAATCCCGGCCACGCGCGCTCTCAATAAAGCGACGAAGAATATGCTATACCTAGTCTCGAGTGCTCGCCATACAGCTCGAGCATCAACTACTTGGGAGAGGCTATTCTCCGAAAAAGATTCACCGGCGCCGGCGAATCATCGTTTTCACGAGCAGCGAATTAAAGCTTGCAACACACGTTCTCTCTCTCCCTCTCGCTCGCTTGCAGTCGTTCGGAGAGCTGCTGCACTCCTCAGGCGCAGCGCAGCCGCGCCTGTCTTCCAAGGTCACTTTGTATATATTCTCTCCTCTCTCGGGTAAATACATTTCGTTGGCAGCGTCGACGGTTTCTTTTCTCATTTTTCTCCTCTCCTTTTCGCGTATCGTTTCTTCTGGCTGGCCCAAAATTGCAATTGATGGAAATTTCGAGGTCACTGTGAGCAGCAACTAATGCGAGCCGGTTCTCGCGTTCACGCTCCGCGTACATCCTTCGCTGGAACGAGTTTTGCGTTGGCTTGCCGCCGCCGATTCGTCGTCAACCAGCCCTTGATACTCGGCTGGAGGCTTTTTTCTCTTCTTCTTTGCGAAAGACGTACCATTATTCGTGCGTGCTCGTGCTTACATCGATTTGGTTGCAAAAAAATGCGATTGCAACAGCTCCGTAGAAACATCGACATTGTACGCATTAAAATAGAAATTGCAGGTCGAATTGAGATTTCGGCTGCATTGCCGAGTCGACTTACTAACGCGCAAAACTTCCATAGCTCATTACAACTCGCCGCACAATATACATATACTTGAATGTATTTTTCAGTGCACGAGAGTGCTTTATATATTCAATGAAGGGCGTTCGCAACTAGGAAAAATTTGTACATAATTGTACATATAGGTTCGATCTCGCATAACGATGGGTGGCGGTAGTGCGAGGCGCAGTTCGTAGCCTACTCGAAAAGTGCGCGTTACGAAAAAGCCGAGGAAATTATTGAATATCGTTGCCGGGTCTGCGGGGGTGTGGAAAAAAATCATTTAATCAGCTAGAGGCGCCGAGCCAGCAAGCGAGAAAAGTTTGAATTTATAAACTCGCACGTATTTACGGGCTACTTTGGAAAATCTTAGTTAATTTAACATTCTCGGCTGGTCGAGGGAGGCAAGGCACATAATATGCAAGCTGGCTGTTGAGTACGGAGCAGCAGCAACAACGGCTAACCACAGTGCGAGTCGGAGCGCGCGGGCGAGGCTTTCATAAATCGTCGAGTTAACTTGACCCAAACGAAAAATTGCCAGTAGTTGGCGCAACGTACCACCTATACGTTTACACGCATATATACACAAACACGCTCGCTCTCGCAAACACAATAACTTGGTATATTTCTCTCTTGCTCTCTCTCTCTCTCTCTCTCTCTCTCTCTCTCTCTCTATTTCTCGTTGCCGCTTCGAAGCCATAAAACAGGTTCCTAGCAAGAATCGGCGTTGTATATCTGAGCGTTGCAGCGCGCTTGTACACACTCACAGAGCTAACGCTC